GAAGAAAAGAGAGAAGAGAGAAAAGAGAGAAAGGCTGGTTCGAATTAGGGAAAAAAGTTAATCCCTTGATTCGGCCAGACCTATTATTATATTATTGACTTATTGAAAAAGACTTGAGTGCCCTTCTTTAAGTAAGAGGCACTCGAACTAACATAACAGTACACATCAGCATTCTCAACAAGTACAAAGACTGAAATACCCCTTCACTAACACCACTAACAAGGATTATATGGAGAAGCAGATATTGCTTTTGCTTGTATATATATTAAAGTGAAAGGGGTGCTCTCCCCTTTCGCTATTTAGAATCTTACTGTTCAACACCGTAGTTGAACAGCTCTCCGTCTCTGACAAACGTCTATCTCTTTCTTTTCACTATTTCTCTCTTTTGTCTCAAGCAGCTCGTACGTGTACCCATTGCATGACACACGTATCGAGATTTTTCTTTCTTTCCATCCCCTCTTTAGATTAATGTCTTTCCCCCTGTTTTTCTCTCTCCCTTCATATCTTCATCGCCCCCTCAGAGTGGTAGATAAGACCTGTTTTTCTAGAGACTGAGATTGAGATAGAACGTAGGACGACCGACGGTATGCGTTATAAGCTGCCTCTCTCATGAAGATGTATCACTCATGCAGGAACACTGGCATCGCCTCTCTGCAGGTGTAGAATGTCGTCGACATGGCGAAGGTGAAGAATCCCAGTCGCTCTTGGATGCCCTTGGGAGAGTTGTCTAAATGCCAGAATATGGTAGCCAAGATGATACCAGTTACCAAAACTGCTCCTTAACGGACCCCAACCATTTCATTTGATATCTGATTTGGGGGATTCCATTTCATTGCTTAGATATTTGAGATTGTGAACCTTGCAGATGAGCTTCTCCCCCCATTGCCTCAAGGAACCATTTCCCTCCCAACCAGCTCAAATTATCTAGTTAAAGGCTCTGCTGGAAAGAAATCTCCTGCCAGTAATTCTGGGAAGCAAGAAGATGCAAATGGAACTGTCAATGAGGTTTCAATCCGTGAGAGGTTATTGCATGATCAACCTGAGCTCCTGCAGCAATTTGGAATGGATCTTCTTCCTGTTCTGATACAGGTTAGTTGCTCCAAGAGTTTTATTTTATGCTAAGAGGCTTTAACCTGTCCCTTCAATTAAATAGATAATAGAGTTCATACTTTTTATTATTTTACTCACCTTTTGCTGAGCAGATCTATGAATCTAGCGTGAATGGTCCAGTCCGCCACAAATGTTTGTCGGTTATTAGAAAATTGATGCATTTTAGCACAGCAGATATGATTCAGTCTTTACTAAGTGTAACAAACATATCAAGGTACTTGCATTATTTTACTCTTTCTTGAATTGATTTATGCTTTGTGCAAATATTATTCAGTKTGTAATTTTTTTGTCATGCATATTTAAGAAGTTTATTTTTTGGTTATCTATTGTTTGATTTCCCAGTTTCTTAGCTGGTGTTTTAGCATGGAAAGATCCACAAGTATTGATTCCTGCACTTTAGATAGCAGAGATTCTTATGGAAAAGCTTCCTGAAACATTTTCCAAGATGTTTGTGAGAGAGGGGGTGGTTCATGCTGTAGATACACTTATATCAACTGGTTCTTTAAATACAGCTACTGTCCAATCATCTTCTGTTGAAAAAGATAATGATTATGTACCTGGAACATCATCACATTCCAGGCACTATCGGTGACGCAGTGGTTGTTCAAATGCAGATGTAAATCCCTTGGAAGAATCAAAAAGTGTTACACCTGGCAGTGTTGGTTCACCGCCAGCATCGGTAGAAATCCCAACTGTTAATTCTAGTCTTCGTGCAAAAGCTTTTAAAGAAAAATATTTTTTGGCAGATAGCAAGGCAGTTGAAGTCGGTCTAACTGATGACCTTCTATGCTTGAAAAACCTATGTTCGAAGTTGAATGCTTGTGTTGATGATCAAAAGACTAAATCAAAGGCTTCTGGCCCTTGCCTAGCTGACCTTTTAGCTAATACAGAGGAACACTTGATTGGAGTGATATCTTAGATGCTAGCAGAACTGAGTAAAGGAGATGGTGTTTCCACATTTGAGTTCATTGGTAGTGGAGTTGTTGCAGCTTTGCTGAACTACTTTTCTTGTGGAACCTTTTCCAAGGAGAGAATATCAGAAGCTAATCTGCCTAGGTTTTGACAACAAGCACTTAAAAGATTCAAGTCTTTTATTTCTGTTTCTCTTCCTGCTGGTATTAATGAAGGGAATGAAGCTCCTATGACTGTCTTGGTTCAGAAGCTTCAAAATTCCCTGTCTTCTTTGGAGCATTTTCCAGTTGTACTGAGCCATTCCTCTAGGTCATCCAGTGGAAGTGCACATCTCTCATCAGGGCTGAGTGCATTGGCTCAGCCATTCTTGCTGTGTCTTTGTAGAGCTCAAGGAGACAAATCTCTTCGTGATTATTTGTCAAACATTGTGTTGATTGATTACCCTTGCAAGTTTAGCTGCTGTAGAAGAATTTCCTTGGCATCTTCAGGAAATTCTGACCCTGGTACAACACTTGCAGGAGCTTGTGCTTCATCACCATCTACATCTACACCTTCTTCCACTCGTCGCCATTCCACCAGATCCAGATCATTGGTGACTACTGGAGGTGCATCTAGGAAGGACCAGGCTCAAGATAGTAATACAAGCTCTTCAAAAGGAAAGGGCAAGGCTGTTCTGAAATCTGCTCCAGATGAGACAAGATGACCTCAAACAAGAAATGCTGCATTCAGAAGAGCAGCTTCAGACAAAGATGCCCAAATGAAACCTGCCCATGAGGACTCTAGGTCTGAGGTATGATCATAGTAACTCAAATATCCAGATAATCGTTAAATATTCTGGGTGTTGTACTTTTACTTGATGTTTTGTTTCCCATAACTGTAATATCCACATCATTGTAATTGTAAGTTCTATGTGCCACTATCCTCTGGCGCATGCACACATATACATATGCAGGACGGAATGTACTGTGGCTATCTTGACTCTTGATTGTGTGCTCAAACCATGTTTAGCTCCTTTTTTTATTCTCCTTGTATATTTCATACAATTATTCAAATGTAGTAGTATCTTGTGCTGACAAAAAAAGGTTTGCTTATTGCTCAGTTATCGGAAAAATGCCTGGTTTTAGCTGAGCTGATGAATCTTGATAATGCTGTGCGTTATGTGGCTGTACACATTTGCTGAACTTGTCTGTAGAATTGTAGCTAGCTAACATGATGATAGCTTGGTTTGGATTTTTCATATCTTCTTGAGGAAAAAATTTCCACTTTTATTCCTTCTCAAATTTTAGCTAATTTGGTAACATGTAAATCACCAAAATATGAAGTTATTAATATGGGAGAAAAGTTATACCAGTCATTTTTATATGAGTTTGTGTACCACATGAGAATTGATTATTGATTGCATATTCTGGGCATTATGGAAGCATCTGCTATATTATGCACTCATTATGCATAAAGTTCTTACGAGACTTCAATTGCCTTGCTTTACTGTTATCAATGCTCTGAACAAATGTTGCTGGATCCTCGCAGTAGCATATTGAGAGTTGTTTTCTTTACTTGACATGGCTGAAATCAACATAGTAAAAATGAACTATAATAGGATGCACTATAGGCGAAGCTGAGGTGACTGATTTCCAGTTGAACATGTTTGGTTGTTGTGTGGGTTAATGCATGACTGGGATGTTGGTTGGTGTAGTAATACTCACTGGTTGCACAACTGAACTGAAAGACGCCATCGTTGCCAGCATTTCAAGAGGAAAGCTGGTTTCCTACGGTGCTCTCTCCGCCAACAGGATCCCATGCCCACCTCGTTCCGGGAGGTCACTACACTCATAACTGCTAGAAGGCTAGAGGCCCTGTCCATCCACACATCAGAGGGTGATCTTGCTGGTAATAGCTTTTTAACCGTTTCGGTTTCCACAATCCTCATGTCACCTTCCATCATCTGGGTTTGTTTTCTTTTACCTACGATTTTATTTATTTTTAGCTGCTGAATAATTTAGGGCTTGGTCCAGTTCCTAAACATTGAATAAAATAACAGCGATGGAGAGAGAGAGAGAGAGAGAGAGAGAGAGGGTTTTGTCTATATAAGGCAATTCGAATAGCTCACCTCAAGGGGAAGGCATTAACATGTTTATGTAAAGAATAAGATCTTTTTTTTTTTTTAAGAAGCATATTAACCTTTCTTTAAATTCATATGGGCAGTGCTTTATTACACCATTTCCAAATGTATAATTAATTTCTTTCAAAAACATATTACTGTGATCAACAATTGATTTCTCACTATTTCTGTGACAAGTACTCTTATATCAAACACCTCTTGTGTTGTTTATAAATTGTCAGAACACCCCTTACTATTGTCAGAGTTAACTACTATAAGGAGTATTTATCATGGTGAGGAGTATAAAAATTTCACACTTTAAGAACTTTTTTTCTTACACCCACCCCGCTAGTGGTGTATTAACCTGAAACACCAAAGCTATTTTTGGTTTGATTGAAAATAAGAGAGACAGAATGTTAAGGGAAATCTTTCAAGACTTTATTTATTTGCAGTGCAATTTTATTTGTATTGGTGCAGGAGTATGGTAGTGCAAATATATTGAATGCAAATTTCTGGTTTATTTTTGTCTAAGGCATTACTTTGTTTTGTCTGTTTGTGGTGCAGACAGAGACTTGAAACAGAGTAAAACCTAGAAGTATATGTGAGTCAAATTTGCGTTCTTTTTTATTCGAGCCCTATGCATTTGTGCTAGTGCAAGTGAAATTGCATTGCAAACAAAGCATAAGGAATTTTACAACATCTGTTAAAGAATTTTCCCTCCATTTTCTCATATTTCCTATTGGATTATGATGCTGGAAAGACGTTATACCAGAAAAACTTGTAACCAATCAAATCATAGATTTCTCCCAAATCAAAAACAATTTTTTTTTTCAACCAAATACCCATTGATACTTTGTACTCAAAAATGCATATCCAGAGTTTTTTCTTTTTTATTTTTTTTTCAATTAGATATATGCACAAATAGATACGTTAGGTAGGTCAGAACTGATGCCTTTTTTTGGGGGTTTCTAGCTGATAAGGGCAACTTTTTGCCTTGAATATCAATAAATGCATATCCAGAGTTTTTTCTTTTTTATTTTTTTTTCAATTAGATATATGCACAAATAGATACGTTAGGTAGGTCAGAACTGATGCCTTTTTTTGGGGGTTTCTAGCTGATAAGGGCAACTTTTTCCTTGAATATCAATAAAATATAATATTTTTATAAAATAATTAAAATAGGATAGCTTTTTCAGAAAAATATCAAGAAAGGGTAGTGACATTATTCCTCGTCTTCCTCCTTTGCCTTTGTATTCATGCGAATACATTGGATTCGAAGAGGTGAGGCTTGGAGGAAGACGAGGGTGGATAAGAGAAGGAAGAGGAAGACGAGGGTTTTGTGCACAGAGATGGGCGGATAAGGGAAGGAAGAGGAATGAAAGGAACAATGGATTTGCCCATGTCAGTGGACACTGTTCCTCTTCCTTCTCTTATCTGCCCATGTCAGTGTGCAAAACGGAGAACGCCTTATCCACCCATGTCAGTGCGCAAAATGGAGGAATACGAGGAGCAATGCATCCATGTCAGTGTGCAAAACAGAGGAAGACGTGGAACAATGCACCCATGTCAATGTCCACTGTTCCTCGTCTTATCCGCCCATGTTAGTGCGCAAAACCCTCGTCATCCTCTTCCTTTTCTCATCCACCCTTGTCTTCCTCCAAGCCTCGCCTTCGTCTTCAAATCCAATGTATCAGTATGAATACAGAGGCAGAGGAGGAAGGCGAGGAACATTGTCATTGCCCTTTCTTGATATTTTCCAAAATATCTATCCTATTTTGGTTATTGTATAAAATATTATTTTTATTGATATTCAGGGCAAAAAGTTGCCCTTTTCTACTAGAAACGTTTTGCAAAAAGTTGCCCTTTCTACTAGAAACTTTTTTTTTTGAAAAATGACACAACAAATATGTTTTTTGAAGAAACGCCCATTGTTTGGTTGGTGTTTTCCTGAAAATCGTTTTCTTAGACCATTTCCTTTTTGATGTTTTCTTGTTTTATACTGTTGCTAGCAATAGTATGCTGAATTATGGTTTTCAAAACCGGACCGGACCAGGCGGTCGGACCAGAAAAACCGGTAACCGGTTAGGCCCATGGGTCCGATTATACTAAAAACCAGAAGTCTCTAAAAAACGTTGAAGAAGTCAGAAAACTGCTGACCCGGGCGGTCGAACTGCTAAACCGTTCGACTCGGGCAGCGGTTCGCGGGTTCTCTTTTTTATTTTCACTGTTTTAAATAAAATAAAAAACAAAAAATAAAATTACTTTAATATCCCCATCCCAAATCGATTAAATAAAATAAAAAAACTGCTGAACCGGTTAGAACCCCATTTTCGTTCTTACCTCCTCTCAGCCCTCACACCCAACCGACCACTTGCAGCGGCCAGCACCTCTGGCGCTCGACAACGACACACACCGACTGACCATGATTAATGGCGATCGGCGATGGCGACTTTGCAGCGGCAACCAGTGTTTTTTGCAATTTGTAGCACTTCCAGGCTTTGCGGTAGGCGAGTTTGCAGCGACGGCGAGTTTGCAGTGGCAGCCAGCATTTTTTGCAATTTGTAGCACTTCCAGGCTTTGTGGCAGGCGAGTTTGCAGCGGCGGCCGACTTGCAACAACAGGCAGTTCTAAAGATTTGGAGATTGATTGCGAGTGTTTTTGACACCTAGGAGCAGTTCTAAAGAAATTCTCAGAAATTGAAGAAAAAACAAAGTTTTGAACTTTTTGCTTGGTTGAAGCTTAGGGAGCAGCATTTGGCATGGTGCTTAGGTACAAATTAATGTAATTTTTTTGATCAATTAGGTAAAATTAATATATATTGAAGTCTTTTACAGATCAATCTTACACTACAAGAAAATCGGCCAAAGGCGGCGGTCTTAAGGACTGCCGCTAGAGTGACATCTCAGGAGGCGGTCTTCCAAAGACCGCTACCTACATCGATTTTAGAAGCTAAGGCGGTGGTCCATAAGTATATGTCCGGCAGATTTTACAAGAGACCAAATTTAAACCGGTCTAATAGACTGTATGGGAAAAACGCGCGCGAGAGCCAAAAATCTTCATTCTCCGTTCAACAAGACAAAGGTTCTTTGCAAAGAGAACCTTGAAGAGAAATTTTGAAGAAGACCACACACTCTTTCTTCACAAGCAAGAAAAATAGGAGAGGAGAATCATTGTTCATAGAAAAGTTGGACAAGAAATCTAGGGTTACAAGTGTTCGTTGAGAAGGGGACAGCTACTTTGTGCGGCTGAAGGGGAAATTTCTGGGCGATATCCAAAACGTGAACCTTGTTCGTTTGAGCAGAGAAGGTAGCGTTCTTCTTCTTCTTCTTCTTTACTTATGCATTGATTGATTTGTGTTTTATCCTATTTTAGGGCATTCCAAAGCTCTATCCAAATATGTTGTGACTTCATATCTAAAATTAGCTTTGGAGCGCCATGTTATGTTTGGAATCACTGTGATTGTATTCTATATTACATTGTTAGTTTAATTGTTTTCTATCCTGCATTTAATTAATTAATTAATTTATTTTTCATTTGCTTCTGGATGCTTTAGCATGAATAAGACCTCTCTGTCAACTTATCTCTCTAAGAAAGGACACAGTAGATCAGTTTCAAGAAGCAGGAAGAGCACCACTGTGAGGGCATCAGCATCTTAGGACTCTACTGAGTCAGCTGCTCTGATTGCGCCTCTTCAGTTGGAGTCTCCTGTTGGGTAGTTCCTGGCTCAGATTCTAAGAAGCCACCCTCATCTGGTGCCTGCTGCTGTGGACCAACAGCTCGAACAACTTCAGACTGCTCGCGATGCTGAGAAACAAAAGGAGTCTGCTTCTTCAGGGACCGACCTTGTCTCGTACAGGGTAATGCTTAGTAGAAAATTTTATAGACCGATTAAGAACAAGTTGTGTAGGCTTCAAGTGAGAAACTAATTGACTTTTTAATATATTATTAGGAGAATAGCTAGGGTTAAGGCCAATGAGAGGAGAAAGGCTCTAGAAGAGATTTTATATGCATTAATAATTCAGAAATTTATGGATGCAAATGTTTCTTTGATACCTAGAATACTGTTGTCTGATCCTTCTGGCCGAGTAGACACATGGCCAGATCAGGAGAAGAAGCTTGAGCAGCTCCACTCCCCAGAAGCCTATGAGATGATCTAGAATCATCTGGCTCTTATATTGGGGAACAGAGTAGCAGATTCTAGTACCATTGCACAGATAAGCAAGCTCAGGGTTGGACAGGTCTATGCTGCGTCGGTGATGTATGGATATTTCCTCAAGTGGGTTGACCAAAGGTTCCAGCTTGAGAAGACAATGAAGATTCGTTCTAGCTTGAGAAGACAATGAAGATTCTTCCATATGCATTAGATGAGGAGAGTGACACTGATATGCAAAAGATGCTCAGTGCAACAAAACAATAGAACAGAATATACAGGTCAGGCCTTCTTTCCTTTTGGTTGTATTAACTTCTGTTGTGTCATTAAGAAGAAAAACCGATAGAATTATTCCTTTCTACATAAGTAGATGTACTACCTCTTACTGTCAATTTTAAGCTATTGGGGCATCAATTTTCTATAATAAATTGATCAAGGAACACCAGGAATTTTTATCTTCATAATGGTTCCAATAACTGTTTTGTGTGGTCTACTGATATATATGAACTTAAGCATGATAAATCATTACTCCTTTTGTCCTTATTCTGAATTATGGGAAGTCTATGAAGCATAATAAAAGAATGTTTTATTGTTCCTCCAAATAGGGTCTTGAGCTGTAAGGCCCAATCTTGGAGGAGTGTAATAGTGCAGCATAGACAACAGGATTTCCAAGATATTTCTTTGTTTTTTTAGAATTTCTTTATTTTGGCTGGTACTTGCTAATTGTGCAAGCAAAGGCTTTTCCGCAAAAGGCCCAGGCATCATGTGAAAAGAAGCTTGTACTTTCTCATTTCCAAATTTATTAAATATTAAAGCTTTTCTCCAACCGAGGATATAGTGACACATTACCTAATCCTTCCTTTCATCTTTTACATCTTATTTGTTTCTTTCTTCCATTTCTGTCAAAACGCCCATTAAAGATTTTTATATCATTGTCTAAGTGCGCATAATTTCCAGTTTTTTCTTATTAGAGTTTAGTTTATTTAAGTTGGTAATGGGAAGGTATTCTTATACAAGTTCATTTTGTAACTTGATATTTACAATTCTATTTGGAAGATTACATAATGTTGTTATTGTATTTGAATACCTACCACACCAGTAAAATATTGACCTTATGCTAGTTTTTATCATATCAACTGAGAAAAACTATATAAGTATGGTCCTCAGTACAATGGTATTTTATACAAAAAACACCTTTAAGGACCCCCATAAATTTACATTCAAGAAAGTGGACGAGAGGTCATCAGGACTGAAACATGTAAGAGTAGATACCCGTGCTCTTAACATGCCAACTGCCAAATTGATAACCACCTCCTCCAGAGTCGATTTCTGCTAAAAAATTTTACTATTCCTTTTCACTGGAGATGACGGCAATAAGGTTTTTTTTTTTTTTTTCCTTTTCACTGCTTCCTTTGTTGTGAATCTTTGGAAAAAATGAAGAAATCACGATTATGCTAAGAACATCTCCAGTGCCATGTTTTATTTTATGCCTTTTTTTTTCTATTCTGAATCATTTGCCTTGAATCTGTTCATGGAACCCTGTTTTGCTATTAAACCTTATTGCTGCCATCCTATTTATCCAGAAATTATGAGACTTTAAATGAAGAATTGCAAAATTTTCAAGAAATCCATCTCTTATGATGGTTATCATATAACTAGGTCGATTGAGACTAGTTATAAATGGAATTTCATCCAAGACCAACTTATCAATCAGCGGTAGGCTTCATACAGATAATGGCTACTAAAAAATGAAATGGTTATTGGATGGTTCTATTCTCATACCAGATCTGAAAGTTAATTAGTCGTAATGTGATCCACCCATGTCAGTAAAGACTCTATGAATCTAGCTAGTACTAAATTCAGTCTCCCCTCAAATGTTGATGTTTTGTTACCAAAGTGTAGTTTAACCATATAGAAAAGATACCCTTTTGAATCTGAAGTATGAATTTTTGTGATGTCTATTTGACATGCGTTTATTAACATGTAATTGTACACCAATTTCAGACAATACTTATCCACCTCAGCCCGAAAGTGTTGATCCTCTCTTAATTCAGCTCCCATTGCTATTGCGTATTTTAGCTTCATTTCTTTTACTCTTAACTCTTTGCAGGACTTTCACTCAAGTCTCAGGAACTAACAGCTATATCTTTAGCTGTTAGACTATACTGCAGTTTTGTCATGGAGTATGATATACACACAATCCTTGATTCAGCTACACTTGGGACAACCCTGTGGGTTATTTATATGATTTGTTTTAAACTAAAATCTAATTACATGGAGGACAAAGATAATTTTGCCATATATTATGTGGTGAGTTTTCTTCATTGGGTTCCACATTCTGTTTTCATAAAATTGAACCTTGAGATGGTAATGTATCCATGAGCTGGTTTGTTAGTCTTAGAGATATACCTTGTAAGGATGAACAGAAGTACTTTACTTGTTTGCTTGGACCTGCAGTAGCTATCCTGTTGGCTTTGTAGGTTGTACATGCTACTGGTTATCTTTTTGTACTAATTCTTGATTTTGTTGGTCTCTCCTCTTAGTCATATTGGAGGCTTAACCTGCAAAATAATCCTAATCAGTACTTAGGATTGAGGGTTATATGCATGTATGAGTATATTGACTTGAAGAAACCTGAGACATCAATGCATCTGCTCTTTATTTAGTATTAGTTTTATGCACAAGTGCTTGCTTATGCTAAAATAACTCAGCTGGTGTCACATGGTTGTGCCATCTATGAACATATATAATTTGATACACACTGACATAAAAAAAACCTGAAATATCAACCTGCCCATAAGTTAACTTTATTTATAATGGATGTGAAATTTTTGTTACTGCAGCTATGCCACAATATGAAAAGATGTACTTGTACTAATTTAATATTCATGAAATTTCTGTAACTGGTACATAATAATAGTTGATAACAAGATGGGTGTATATAACATATAGGGTATATATCTTCTACCTGGGTCATTTAGTAAATAGAAAATTACTTAAAATCTTCCATTTTGCAATACTGATCTCTTCTGTGTTCCTCTCCTTGCCCTCTTTTCAAGAGGCAACCTTGAGCTTACCACATGGCTAGAATAATTTCTTTTGGGGCCTTTTTCAAATTAAAGTGGAAAAATTTCATATGACTTGTGTAACTTGGGGAAATTTTCAATACAAGGAGGGTTATAAGGTTGATGTCGATTGGGTTGGTTAGAATGCAACTGACCTAGAGGGTCCATTACCCAATGAATGGTTCAAATTGGCCATAGGATTCTTCCATGTGACAGAAATGGGTGGGAATTTCTCCACTTGCCTGATTAGGGACCTTTCTTCATACACTCATAGTTGTGGATATGCATATGATCTGAAATGTGATTAACCAAGTTTTGCCTAAACATATTGGTTGACTTGGCCAAATTTTAGAAAAAGATGGAATATATCTGTTGTTATTGTGTTCAGCCATTTTAATTAGGGATGCTGGCACTTGTGAGGAAAAATGGTTGAGTCTTCAAAACACAAAATAATAGAATTCAATTGTATAAGCATTACTTCTGTAATAAATACATCTCATCACCATCATTGTTGTTGTTTTGATCTTAATGTCGTTTTTATGGATTTATTGTTTCTCATTATTAACATTTTTTTTTCCAACGTGGATGTAGGTGATACCTTGTGCTCTATTAGATCTACTTGTTCATCCATCAACAACACATCATCTTTTTAACAGGATTGCTTGGGCCTTTTGTGTATATATGGAAGTTGTTTCAGTATTACCACAGCTGCGTGTCATGCAGAACGCGAAGGTAATACATGAGGGCAGAAAGATAAATCATTGATTTCTTAAGTTGGATGAATTATTATTTTTCTTCATACTTAACTCTGAAACCTGATATTGCTTTGACTCTGCAGATTGTTGAACCATTCACAGTTCATTATGTATTTGCATTGGGAATTGCAAGGTTCTTGAGCTGCGCTCATTGGGTCCTCCATGTAAGATAGCACAAGAAAGAATATCAGACGTTTCTCTTGGGTGCTGAAAGGTCTAATGGTCCAATAAAATTTGATTCTTTTCTTTGTTTCTGTCTTTCTTTTTGTTTGAAGTGTCTCCTCAATCAGAAATATTCTCCCGAGTTTACAATCTTAATCATCCAATTCAGAGAGCAGATTAGCTGAAACTTGATATGTGTTTTGGGATGTGGGACCAATCATAATGCTCCACGCCAGCCAAAGTTCAGGGCCATGTGCACTTTGGGCTGTGGAACCAATCATAATAACTAAAAGTTTTACATTCCTAGGGAGGGTGCACTATTGTAAACAAGACCAAACCAAAAGGGAAAATAACTAAGGATTACTACCCAATCTTGGTCCCAACTATCTAGAGTCTTGGGAGGGGTGTGGCATTTTTTACACAAATGGCCACTCCCAGATCAGTCCTTAATGAATATCATATTGTTACATTTGTACCTATGCTAGATTCCTAGATGATCCACATATGTAATAGGCTTTTTCAGATTTAGCACAACTCCTGGTAGAGAGTCTGCATTTCCACTGGATCCAACCTTTTCTGCGGAAGCTAGATCAACATAAAGAATATTTGTATTGGCGGGAAACTCTTCCTGCAAACTTAACACAATGTCAATAAACACAATTGACATTGCAGTAATCTTTTAAAGTAGGCAAGAAAATAGTTCCTTTAAAAATGATAAAACTGAGATATGTACTACATACTGTTTTTTTATGGATGCTTATAAAAAATCAACTATTTTTTATGGATAACTGATGATTCTTTTTTAAAAGTTCGAGCACCCTAATGCTAGCTTACCCTATTTACAGAAGTGCCCAGCGCCCCTTCATAACTTTACATAACTGTACAGTAGAATTGGGCCCAAAACAGTTGATCCCTGGTTGCTTCTTGCATTGATAGTGAATCTACCAAGCAAATTGCTGATCTAGTTTAGTTCTTAATGGTAGGAAGCCTCCAACTTCTCTGTCAAAAATTTTGTTTCCCTCATTATGTGCCTGTCTTGCCATGGACCTTGACTGGTAGATCTAATCCGCCCAGTACTAACATTGAATCCCCTTACACAATTATATTTCAGATGCCTAGATTTCTTCCAACTCTTGATCCTTGCAAAACAGCTAGTAATTCTTCATTCAAGGAATCACAAATATCAATTGCCCCAGAAAATTTTGCAAAAATATTTCACCTTGCATCCCTATATGCTTCTCTTATGCCTGATGGTCCACAGTTTCCAATTCTTGCACCCATCGCAAGCATAAGCTGGCTTCTTGTCGGCGGCCTCCAATGCTTTTGAGCTCTAGGTTGTATTTCTATAAGCATCTCGTTCGTTCTTGATTTTCTTTTAAAATCCTATCATTTCTTTCCCCCATAAATCTCATAAAATAGCTGTCCTAGTAGATCTCCATAATGCCTTTACTCTCCTATCATTTCTTTCACGTAAATTTATGTTATCAATTGTTTTATTTCTGGATATAAACCATGTTAGCATTATGTACTACTGTATGTCTTTAATTATTTTATATAAACAAATATTCTGAGTTTTCAGTGCAACAGGTTTCATATAGTTCCTTTGTTTATTTATTGAAGCTATGTAGATCTGATGCAATCTATTGGACATTTTGGTTCAGGTTATAATTTATGCAGTGCTGTATTTAAAGCTGAGCAGAGCTTGGATGTCTGTTGGAGTCAATCAGGAGAATAAAGCACAAAGATTATTAGATATCTTAAAATGTGATAGAAGTGGAAAGAAAGGAGGATGTGTTATATTATTTGACAAATTGATTTTTTTTTGAAGTCCTTGTATTTTTTATGTCAGTTGGATATTGTATTTGAATAATTCTTTTGAAAATAATAATTAGTTTTTTAATTTAATACATTAATTTTGTTTCAAATTACATTTTTATTTAAGTTCTTTTTAATTATCATGAGATTTTCACTAAAGTGATGAATTAGTAAAAGTTCTAGTGCAAAAAAAATTGTCAGAATAAATCTGATATAAAATCATAAGATAACACCTGTCGGTGGTCATCTAACCGCTGGTTTTGATAAAAGCCGACGGTCATATGAAATCTAACTTGGCGGTTTGAACCGCCACCTAAAGATGGCGGGGATGTTTGAAAATAGCGAAGGTGGCAGGCGGCGGTCTTTTAGGACCTAAGCCGGCGGTCAAAACCGCCGCCTTATTAAGGCTAATCCAGCGGCTCCAATAGACCGCCGCTTTAGAGCAACTTGAACCGCATAAGTGGTGGTCATGTTAACCTAAGGCGGCGGTCCTGACCTAAGCCGGCGGTCTAAGGGGGCGTGACCGCCGCCTTAGACCTAAGCCGGCGGTCTTATTTGACATTTTTTTCTTATAGTGTTGGTTGCATAGCAATCTAACATTCTAGAGTGAATGCTCCTATTTCTCCCCTTTTACTTTGGTGCCAGGGGAATCTATCCCTATGAATCTTGATTTTAGGGCAAGGATTTTTGCATTTTAGGATTTAACATTCTAGAGTTTTTTTTCCTGTATTTTTTGCAATTTCCTGTTTTATTTTTCTGTATTTTTTGTATTTTTTAGAAATTTCTGTATTTTATTTTTATATTTTCTATGTATTTTGTACTGTATTATTATTTATTTAGATGGTTTTATTTTCTGTTTTTATTTAATTTTATGCTATTTTTTATTATTTTTAATTTATTTATGATGTCACGGGTCGAACCGTTCGACCCGAACAGTTGAACTGCTTAACCGGAAACTGATCCCCTAACCGGTTCTGTTTCAGGTTCGTTTTTAAAAACCATGTGCTGAATCGCTGATGTAGCATTGAAAAATGACTAAAAAAATGGCACTAGAGAAATGCCACCAGTTCCAAACACTGCTAAGATTCAGTTTGGAAGGAGTACAAATACATACAAAATACAAGGTTTTGCACTCTACATATTTGTATTTGTACTCCTTCAAAATGGAGCTTAAAGGACACCTCAGAAAAAAAAAAAAGGAAAAGAAAAACACTGCCTAAGGTGTTTATTAATACTTAAACCCAAGGTTTAAAGTATCCATATTTTCAATACAGCAAAAAACAGGTACAAGATTTGTTCAATGGATGATAATTTACCATAAGAGATATATATCTATTATCTATCATCTGTTGAAGTTAAATATAGTTGAAATCAACCAAATCTTGATACTTGGGTGGGTTTACAAACCAATACGAAACTTTGACGTTTGAACATTGCTTAAACTTATTAAAGGTTGTAATTCATGGCAGTTAACATTTTGATGACTGAAAACTGATCATACATAACATGATGCATCACCATGACAGTACCAATGAGATCCGATCTGTTCCTCACACCAATCTCAAAGTGTATCTCAGGCATGCATTGAGAATATCTCCTGTATATGATATTATCATTAATGGGAAGATGTTTCTATTGCATGACTGGGATGCACTCTAAGGATAATGTGAGACACGCTCTGTGAGGAACAGATCCTTAGTACCAATTAGTAATTTGGCACTTAGGATCTCCTACCCACAGATTCTTCCCACATCTCTACTCATAGGATACTACAAGTGTGTTAAAAATATCTCCTTCATTATGGGGAGGTGATCCCATTACGACGATGCTTGGGAGTCCCAATCAGCCCCCCATAATGTCCTACAGCACATCCCAGTCATGTATTGAAAACATTTCCCGATGATGACATCATCATTCAGGATATTATCATTGGGAGATATATTCCCAATACACGGCAGAGATTACTGTCGGACGTTGTGGGGGCTGATTTGAACTCGATGCTTGGGGGTAGGTGATCCAAGCTCGTGGTATTGATGTTTTGACTTGAAGTGTTTTGGATTGGAATGTCGCTTCATCTTGAAACACAAACACATCGGTCATACTCCAGTCCTGTTTAGTGGGGATCGATTTTGTGTTGTTGCATTCACAATAAGATTTAAGGCTACGTTGATGCCACTTTAGCCAAGTCTTTGAGATTTTGCTCCATCCCCATGGAGCAGGAAACTTCAATCAGATGTTTCATCAAATGGCTCTGCTTGGATTTCTGTGGTCAACATTTTATGGAAGTTTCAGCTCAAAGTAGCCTCCAACCAAAAATATTTTCTACCGTTCAACTCAAAACACCTACATGATGCTGCAGCGGCAATCATCAAAGTTGTTAATGGAAAGGAAACAAACATTCAAACAATAAATAACAAAGTATTGAAGAGTAAGAGCAACTTATTTTCAAAGTATGTAACTGTAGTAATATAATTGCAACTAACTTTCAGAGTTGAGGGGGCGATGGCATGATAGGATTAGCTGAACACAATAACTGTTGTTCATACACTGTGAAACCAAACTAATAATAACGCTGCACTAGTAATAAAATATACAGAGTCCATAACCATTCAACCTCTGACCGTGGGTCTCACTTAGTCACTTAAGTTGTGTTTGGTTAGAAGGAAAAAGTAGAGAAATGAAGAGAAAAAGTAAGGAAATCTTTATAAATCTTGTATAGGTTTATTTGTGTTTCCCTTTCTTTTCCTACTTTTTCCTTCAAACCAAATATAGCCTTAATGTATTTTATGGCTGGCGTGAGGAAGATCACTTTGGCTTCCAATTGCTCCACATCTACACCTTAGCGACTAAATGTGTATTGGAAATATTTCTTGTATTTATTATAGGGAGATGTTTCCAATACACGGCTGATAAGTGCTGTGGGTCATCAATTTGATCTCAAAATGATGTGTTAATGTGACTCTGGATCTCTTACCCATGACAACTTTGCCCACACCTACCCACAAAACACTACCCCCATGCATTGGGAACATCTCCTCATGCATAACACCATGTAAGGGCGTGAAATGTTTTCCATATGTGGTTGTGATCTCATGTGGATAGAGTTGTCATGGGTAGGAGATCTGAATTCCATTAATGCATTACCATTCATTCCATAGCGGGCTGTACAATCAAAGCGTTCAGTTAATACCAATTAGGAGTCTAGATCTTCTCCTTACAGAGCTCTCCTCACACTGACCTCACAACATGTTCCAGCGTACATCTGGAACATTTCCGGTGCATGTAGCAGATCCCAGGCCCTGTATGGTTCGCAGGAATAGGGGTCCAGAATCGAAATTCTGATTCCAACTGTTTGGTTGGGCAGAATTAGAATCCCATTCCCATTCTGTTGGTATGGCTATTCTTTGCCCCTTCTTTGAGAATGAAATCTCATTCCTACTTATTCAAATTCTCATTCCCATTCCAATCTGAACCAAACAATCTATAGGAATAGACCATTCTGATTCCCACCGAAAAGCAAACCAACCCCTAATTCGCCAATTAGATGGGCATTAGCTCATTCATCCACCACGTTTACCTCCCATTTATTGAGTTAGGTCGCAGTCTCACAGATGACTTACCAATCTTGCACGTGGAAGACCTCTCACCACTACGTCTCTACCTACCTATTTCGTTGTTGTGTTTGACTTTGCCATTCTATCACGGCCGAATTACAAAATTACCATCCCGACTGTAGTTTATACCACAGTAGTTGGTTAATTAACAAAGTTACAAAATTTCCTGAACGGAGGTCCGGTCTGTATCTAATGATCTGTATCTGTACCACTTATAAAAATAGGGATACGGGCAATGTTTCGTCAAAAAGTCTGTTTTTTCACTTTTCATTTTTATCCTTTATCATGTTTTTTGTTTTAAAGTTTGATTTTCACTCTTTATTATGTTTTTTTTTATTTTTTATTTTCCAATTATATTTAATTAACGGTTAACATTTATAATTAGATAATTTTTATATATCATTTATAAAAATGAGAATGGAGGCAATGATTTGTCAAAAAGCCTAACTTTCACTTTTCATTTTTATCTTTTATCATATTTTTTATTTTAAAGCTTGATTTTCCCTTTCCATTTTTACCCTTTGTTATATTTTTTATTTTTTTATTTTTATTTAATTAACGGTTAACACTTGTAATTGGATAAAACTAATAAAATAATAATAAGACTGTTGTGGAACCTACTCCTTGCCTAATCCAATCTTCTCTCGATGAACCTCTTCATTGATTAGAGCCAAAGCGTGTCAAGCATCGAATGGTTTGTCCAAACCACAGATTTGAATTGAAGGGAGGAATGGATTTTTTCAACCTCTCCCTTTTCATCATGGAACAATCATTTAGATGATTAAATGACAATTTTTTTATTGGTTTTCTCCCTGTTTTTTTTTTCTTTTTTTTTCAATTGTCTCTGTTAACGTAATAAGTTGTATTGGATAAGGAAATGCTCTTAGGTTCATTATATTGATTCGTTTAGGGTGTTTTTTTCTCGATGATCATCGGGCTAGTCTGGTAATCTGACACCCTACCAACATAATACCATAGGGGTTGTACTTGGTAGGGCAATAGGGGTTTGGAATGCATTTTATATAAATTGGATGGACGTTTGATTCAAATTTGAATATAAATGAATCGAGATCATCCTATATCCTGATGCTAGCCATTAGATATGCAAATCACGGCCCCACCATTGACAAGCAAAACCACAGGAGGCAAAAGGTCAAATGTCATCATTCACACATGGTGTCACTCTTATCCTATGCACCTTTTCTCCTCAAAATGAAGAAAACAATATAAATTACAAAAAAAAAAAGAAATACACAAAAAAATTATAAAAAATATAGAAAATCATAAAAATTTCTATACCATACTAAAAAATGAGAATGTTGCAATTGGTTTGGTCAAAGCACCCTAATTTTACTTTTTAACTTTATCCTCAACTTTCTATTTTTTCCCATTGTATATATGTCATTGCAAAATCATTATGAAAAAAACACATAAAATGAAGAAAATAATATAAATTACAAAAATAAAGAAATAGAGAGAAAATTTACAAAAAAAAAATATAGAAAATCATAAAAATTGAAGAAAAAACATAAATTACAAAATGATTCAGTTAGTGTGGTTAAAAGACCGTGATTTTTCATACTAATTCTACCAACATAGTTACTAACTTAGTTTTTTACTTCTTTGATTCTTTCTAGTTATTTATCTATTCTCTCTAGTTTTCTCTTTAGGATTGGCATTAATGGCAAGCATCGCAAGGCAAGGGATCCCTAGTCCCTACACCTTTACTCCTTTAGAAATATTAGCTTCTTTCATTTTTTGGAAATACTTAAAGAAAGGATCCCTACTCTTTAAGAACCTTTACACCAAATAGGCAATGACAAATAAGTGTCATCTCTTTCCTAGATTATAAGTCTTCTTCCAATTTCCAAATTTCATTCTTCTTTCTCTTTGACTCTTCTTTTCTTGGTTCGCCTCGCTATTCCCTAAGGCTCATAACTGCAGTTATGACCTTTACACCAAATAGGCAATGCCAACTGTGCTGCCATTTTCAATGAGCAGCTGCAAGATTTTCAATTTCATGAGTGTTAAAGCTTGGGGTCGGTTGAAATCGACTAAGTCGGTTTTGCTTAGTATAGGGTCGGTTTCAGTTTCATCTTTAGGTAACCTGACCAGGTCGGGTCGATTGGAAAAACACCAATAAACCGACCCAACCCGACTCGTGAACAACCCTAGTTGGCAAAAAAAAAACATTGTATTTTCTAAAAAGAAATTGGGTAGGTGAGGTACTTAGGTTTGTTTTGAGCTTTAACCCAACCCACCTGACCCATCAACCCACTAATGACCCATTTTGGGTTCAACCCAAACCTACCATAACCCAACCCAACCTGCCCAACCCATTAAATTTTTACACAATACATAAATTCTAGAAAAATATAACTATAAAAAATACATAATATATAAATAAAGATATAAAATGTAGAAAATAACATAAATTAAAGAAAAAATAAAAAAATACAAAATAATTATAAAAAATACGAAAAACAAAGAAATATGCAAAAAAATTACAAAAAATATAGAAAATCATAAAAAAATTATGAAAAATAACAAAAAACAAAGAAAACCATAAATTATGGAAAAAATGAAAATATAGAAATTTCATTCCATGGGCCCTGGACATGTTTGTCAATTAGGCCTAGGTCTTATAAGGGCGTTTGGCCACTAGGACTGTATGTTATCATGTGTGCAGTTATTAAATAGGGCATAAAACTCATGTCCTTAGTCGTATGCAACACTATGACACATTATAAATTGTTCAATTGTTTTATTCTTGGACAAATGTACGGAGGTATTCAACATTCCTAGAAGGTGTTTGCATACATATTACTTTAGTGGTTGGTTGGTAAATGTTGCTTCCAACTAATTTCATCTCTTCTTAGTTAAAAAGTAAGAAGAAAATGTTTTTAGGCTTAAATGTAAGTCATTTAATAGTCATCTTAGATAATGACTTCTGCTATTCAATGGTTACTTGTGTAAATTAACATAATATCTTTGTTTACTTCTAACCATTAATAGTAATTATTTCATAGGTTTTAGGTTATTATAAAACAGGAGATCAGTTAAGAGTGGCATCTCTTGTTCTCCATAAATTTTGTGTTTCATTGGGATGAACTGTTGTAGGTATATAGCGGTCACTAAGACCCTCAGAGTACAAAAGGTGTCAAACCAACACTACACAGATACCTGCAATGAATCCAGAACCCATCGTACGATTGCGATGAGTTCATCGCAAATCCGCTCATACCTGGGACATGTTGCGATGAACTTCGGCTAGCGCGATTCTACGATAAAGTTAAGACACGTGCGAGTTTGCAATGAACTCTAGACACACACAGATTTGCGATGAACCCAGACATGCATAAAGTTGCGATGAACCCGACGCCATTACAGAACCGCGGAATCACGGTAGAACAGGAATAGATACCGATTACATGTACGTCTTTAAGTACACCTGCCAAACGATGATGTCACCCGTGCCACATCAGTACAATAGGGTCACCTACGGAGAGAATCCGAAAGGGATTTGATTCTCTAAGAATGATCCCTTAATATTCAAACAAAAGGAAATATCTCATTTCCTAACATAAAAGATCATCTTTCCTAATAGGAAAGAACTTCTTCCTTGATAACCTTAACTTCCTCCCTATAAAAGGGAGATGGCAATTCTTCCCTAGAGAGACAACACAATATAACCTTGACCTAGGGTTTCCCAGGGAGGTCATCTTTCTCTTCTCCTTCTCCTTCTCTCTCTCTCTCTCTCTCTCTCTCTCATTCACATTCCTGTCGCCATCTCTGGACCTTCGGAGTTTGACCGACTGCTAGGAGTCTACGATGATTACAACTGTATTTCTATATAATATTGTTGAATGTAATTTTATCATTTACTTGGTGCATTAATGTTTCAATCTGAAGCATTTGCATCCAACATTATATGCATATTATAAAATTTAGATCTTGGCATTTTTGTGAAGATAGTCTTTTTTATGTTTGATATAGTTATCTTAGGACTTGAACAGTATGTGAACTTTTATTATGATTGAGATATAAAAGTATAGTCATACATCACATCAATATCAAATACCCAGTGCATTGCATGGGCCATTCCACTAATATAACTATAAGATACTTTTTTGTTTTTTCTTTTAAGGTAGAGAAAGCAGGGTTATAAGATATTTAGGCTGTGTTTGGTTTGAAGGAAAAAAGTAGGGAAAAGAAAGGAAATGTAGGTAAATCTTTACAAACCTTGTATAGGTTTTCCTATTTGGATTTTTAGATTGGATAATAGGATTCGATCAGATTTGGATCACCCTCATCCAATCCGATATATATTATATATTTATAAATATAAATATATATAATACATATATATATACTATTTATTTTTTTTACAAAAACATATATATATATATATATATATATATATATGATGAAAATAATTAAAAAATATTTGTATTTTAGTTTTTACTTTATTTAAGTTAGTATATTTTATTTTTCTTTTAATAATTTATTAATTTTTAAAAAGCAAGTCAGATTGGATCAGTTTCGAAGATCGGGCTTTGAGAACACTTAAAAGAAGTACTTATTTAAACAAATACTTCTTTTAAGACATGGAACCACACATTAAGTGGTTTTTAAGTACTTATGGGTGTTTGGTAAAAAAGAGGGTAAGAAGTACTTATTATTAAAAAAAGTACTTAAAAAAGTGACATGGATGTGGCTTTTTTTAGCACTTTTTGAAGAAGTACTTCTTCATTCGAATGGGACAAACCTGTCCCTTTTTTCTTTAATGACAAAACTACCCCTCTCGAGTTTATCATCTTCTTCTTCCATTCGAAACTCTACAACAATAGGCAGCGGCGACATTTGGTTACAGGTCCACCGGTGACGTTTTATGGTGAGCAAAAGCTAACCGGCGGAGTTGGGTGTATAATACAACCGTTCTTGCAGGTCCGTTCTCAGTATAATACAACCATTCTTGCCATTTTTGCCGGCGGAATTGGGTGTATAATACAACCGATGGAGATACGACAACACCCAACACCGTTCTCAATATAGGAATAAAAAAGCGGTGGAGGTTCTTACAATACAAGTAAAATGGCTGTAGGAAACAAACTCCCAAAAAGCGGTGGAGATTCTCAGATTCAGATATCTGGGAATCAAACTCCCAAATGGCTGTAGGAATCCAATGCCCCAAAACAAACTCCCAAATCAACGACCATCAATCCTATTGTGTACTTGCTCATCGGACCAGTGATTCCTTCCTATATACGTACTCAGATTCAGATCTCTGACTGCAATAAAGAAAACAAAGCAGACAGAAATTTCTGAAATGAAAACAGAAGAGGGTCATTTTAATAAATATCGAACGATTATCAGTAAAAAAAACTAATATAAGCAATAATTCTGATCAAGAGGAAAGGAGATGAAAGGAAAAAAATGATTTTTGTCTGTGAAATGGATTGATTAAGTATTGGCTGGAGTCGAGCTCCGAATGTAAGAGAAAGGGAATTTGACTGTTCAAGGAGGATGGAATGGTGGAAGGTGGAGATCGGAATGAGTTTACCGCCACTTGGTTATGTGTCATGAGGAAGGTGATGAACAATGGATTTTTGGGAGTTCTGAAAGAAAAAGAAAAAGAAGTATGAGATGGAAAGGGCTAAAACTGTCATTTATATAAATATAAGCATTTATTGAAAAAATAACTTACGCTTAAAATAAGTAATTCTAAACAAGTACTTAATCATTAAACAGGGCCCAAGTCCCATGGGATTCAAATTCAAATCGTGTCGGATTGGATTCGAATTTACGATCCAGTCAATTTGCATCCCTTGTAAATAATGGCAGTATGGTAATTATAGCAAAATGCAGGTTCTATTTTCATTCGCACTCAGCGCCCGTTTTCCTTTCTCTTCTTGCACCAATTCCTTTCATCCATATATAAAGTCGAGATTGCATCAGTAGTTGATTCCGGTCGAGAGTGAAGTATCGTCCTCCGGTGGGAGCTGTTCCTTCCATCCATATATAAAGTCGAGATTGTATCAGTAGTTCATTCCGGCCGAGAGTGAAATATCGTCCTCCGGTGGGAGCTGTGACTTAGAGAGAGAGAGAGAGATGTCTCCAGCACCATTTGTCTCAGGGTTGCAGGTCGAAAGCTTCAGTTTCCCTCCAACCGTAAAGCCACCCGGTTCAACCAAGACCCTATTCCTCGGTGGTGCAGGTATTTTAACTTTGTTTCTTTTCTAATAAGTTGTGATATACATTTTATTCTTCCAAAGCTACTTGTTCGTTCTTTCCTTCTGTCAATGCGCAGGAACAGAGGACTCCTCTCTGTTTTCCGGCAGGCAACAACCGCAGCAGACTTCACTGCTTTTTTAATTAATAAAAATGATTTTATTTCTGGGGGCAGGTGCGAGGGGTTTAGAGATACAAGGGCAGTTCATCAAGTTTACGGCCATCGGAATCTACCTGGAAGACATAGCTATTCCGTCTCTCGCCGTTAAGTGGAAGGGCAAGACTGCCTCGGAATTGACAGATTCTATTGACTTCTTCAGGGATGTTGTCTCCGGTAAATAAACCAAGTACTTTTTCTGCTTGCCTATTTGTGGGGAGTTTTTCTTTACTCCTTGATCGATCGAGAAATCGGATTTACACCCCACAGAGCGGAGTTAGGATCTTCCCATCAGTGATAAAATCAAATCGCTGTAAAATTAGTGTGAGGCGCGCTCTCTCAGCCTGAGGGGGAAATCCGAAATCGAAAGGAGTTCGAATCGCCTGCTAAAAAAACACGTTCTAATCCCTCTACCAACTTGATCATACACCGCACATCTCATACATGGCGGGTCCCAATCTTATGGTGAGATGTGTGGTGTGAGATCATATTGGTATCCAAATATCATCATTAAGCTAACGTGACATCAGGAATGACGTGGGCCAATTATATTTAGTTTTAATAACCTTTCGTCTTGCCAGGTGGCCAATTATATTTTCCTACCCACACCACCTGCATAATATCGCAGCCACATACGTGGGAATATCTCATCCTCTTGCATATTATTATTCACTCCGGAGATGTTTTCAAGGCTATGTTAGGAAGCCTTGAGTAGTGTTTTATATCGGAATTGATATAAACCCTAATCAAACGTAAAGGTTTTTTGTCATCACATTTTTCAAAGTATAATGGTCACTTTTTCAGTTTTTTATGATTCATCAATGTATTTTTACACGATTCCAAACACAGCGTAAAATATGGAAATAGTGTTTTGTGGGTAGGCGTTTTTATGGGACCCCTAAAATTATTGTGGGTAGGAGATCCGGAATATTTCCAAACGCGGTTATCTCAACGGTTGTTACTTGTTAGCCATAAGCCATTGAAAGATAAAAGACTATTTATGTTGACTTTTGATCTGCTCTGCTCGCACAGCTGTGTATTACGGTGCTACGTTAATACGATATTATTCACTCGTTATTGGTTATATAACCCGTTTTATATAGCCGTACGAGTAGCAGATCACTGTTTGCAAGTTGAAGGTGCCATCCGACTCGGTGCCTGGGTTGGAATTCGGTAAGGTTTTTGACCAGGATCGAAACCTGCAAGCCCTAACTCAATCTGTTAAATTTCAACCCTATCATAATCCAACCCAATTTTTGAATTGGCCTGGTTTCTCCGTTTTTCTTTAGGTTTTTATTGTTCAGTCTACTTGATAAATTTTTATCGGTTTGTAGAGTTGAAATAGAGGAATCCAGCACGTGGGGGTTTGAAAATAAAAATTTCTGAGGAGGATTAGACCATAAATTTCCTAAGTTTTTTTATTACATAAATTTTAGTATTATTATGCTTAAAATAACATTGCTATCATGTTTTAGGAAAATTCTGCCTTCAAACATATAATTTTTAACATACAATATATACACACATAGATTATGTGATACATACACAATACAAAGTACTTGCAACAACAAATAATACATAAATACGTACATATATAATTTTGTGGACACAGTTGCATATGCATAAATGCATAACATAAATATATGCAAGAGTACATGCATATAAAAACATGTTTATATAATATTTATATGTATAAATATGTAGTTAAGTCAGGTTCAAGTTGGGTTAGGTTGGTCAAGGTCTCAACCCTAACCTTAATATGAACTTCAACCCACCCCAACAAAAAAAAACCCAATTAAATCCAACTTTTTGGGGTTGGTTTGGGCTAACTTGGCCCAAGTTGCAGTCCTAGTTTTTTTTTTTTTTTTTTTTTTTTTTTTGGGGGGGGGGGGGGGTTACAGGATTAGGGACAGGCTACCATATAAAGTGAATATTTGCCTTGGTTTTAAATTCAAATACCATATATCATATATAGTTAACATTTACTTGCAAATGTGCATACAGTACCTACGCTAATTAATAATTATCTAAAATAATTAACTAGTTGAATTCAATTCTTGCTTGATTTGATTTGAATTCACACTACTTACTCCCCTAATTAAACTTTTGCCAAAGTTTAATCATAAATGTTGATGTGAATAGAAGTATAGAACAATATGATGAAATAGGATTCTTCTTGTAGCCAAGTTGGGACAAGGCTTAGATAACGATGATGATGAATTGTTATGTGAAAAGTTTGCCAAATTCTGTCATTTCATGTACAACCCCATCAATAGGGGTGACAACGAGCTGAGCTTTTCATGAGCTGCTCGAGCTTGGCTCGTAAAAAGCTCGGCTCGGCTCGGTTTCGAGCCCAATTCACTAGCTCGATTATGAAATAAGTCAAACTTGAGCCTAATAGAGCTCGGCTCGTGAAGCTCGCGATTCGGTTCAAATATATATATATATATTATACTTATTAATTTTTTAAATATCAAATAAAAAAATTTTCATATATAATTTTTTATTTTTGTAAAACATTTTTTCTCAATATCAAATTCGAACTTATGAATTTTTTACTCGAATCGAGCTCGAGTTCAAGGTTTTGGCTCGAACCAAGCTCGAGCTTGAGCTCGAGCATTGTAGAACAGTCTCGAGCCGAGCCGAGACTCGTACTATTCGACTCGGCTCGGCTCAAATCCACCCCTGCCCATCAACAACATCCATGCAGCTTCCAACATGATCTATAGCTATAAATTTCAAAGATGTCTCATATGAGATTGGATTTGCTTCTCACGAGTGTGCCTCACACCGAGCTCACAGCACATTTCAGTCATGCATTTAGAACATCTCCATAATTATAAATTTTTATTTGGGAGATGTTCCCAATGTAGTGATAAAATGTGCTGTGAGGTGCGCACTGTGAAGAACATATCTGAATTCGTCTCATATATGCTCTAAGCATTTTTATGATCGATATGTCGCATATTATCATTAGTTCCACAACCCGACACAGCGTTAAAATTAAGATCTGATTTTACTTTTAAAAATACAATTCTTTCTTACCAAGTTTCAGCTCATTCTCATAATCATATGGCTTTATTGATAGCGAATCCAGTTCTTTTAAAAGGCAGGTAGCCATGAGGCCCATGACAGTCCAAACTCACTAAATTTCCTTACGGAGAAAGGTCGGAACTAGGGGTGGTCATGGGACAGGCCGGGCATTACACCAATGGTAAGGTTGTTGTTGGGCCCGGCCCAAATTCTTGGCTTGAAACATAAGCCTGAGCTATATGAGCTTGTGATTTTAGTATAAAATACTACATATGCACAATATTTTATATTATATAAGATTATTAAATGCATACAAAATTTATTTTATACATTTATATGGTATAAAATATATATTGTAAGTGACAGATTATGGAATTTATATATAAAATACACAAATTAACATAAATAATATATATAAATTATATGAAATAATATATAATAATTAAGTTTATGCAGATAAAACCAACTTTAGATCGGGCTTAAAAATATCTAAGCCCAAACCGGAAATTTCCGGGCTGAAAATGATCACTCCTAGTCGGAACTTGGGTGATCCGCTTCATGGGTCTATCACATAAAGTAGTGACTAATAAGTATCCAGGGAATTTTCCATGATCGTGCAAGGCTTCACTTTGCAAGTGGTATCCAGTAATCCAGGGCATTTTCAAATCACCCTTTTAAAGGGATCGAATTTTGTCAGAAGATGAATATTTTAGACAGATGTGTAAAACGAATGAAGGTCGTAGAGTAGACTTACTTTAAATATGGTTGAGATTTGAGAAAGTTGTTTCATTAATTAATTGTTGAAAAATACGGTGGGGTTGTAGGTCCCTTTGATAAATTCATACGGGTGACGATGATAAAGCCATTGACGGGTCATCAGTACTCCGAGAAGGTGACTGAGAATTGCGTAGCATATTGGAAATCTGTGGGAATGTACACTGACGCAGAGTCCAATGCAGTGGAGAAGTTCATCGAGGTCTTCAAAGACGAAACCTTTCCACCTGGAGCTTCCATTCTATTCACACAATCACCCTTCGGAAGCTTGACGGTCAGTATCATCTTGTTTCTGGCTTCATCAACTTTTTCTTTTTAGGCCTACTTAGTGCTGATATCGTTTCTTCATTTTTTTTTCTCTCTTCTTATCCTGAAGATCGGTTTCTCCAAAGATGAGTCCATACCTGAAGAAGGGAATGCAGTAATAGAGAACAAACCGTTGTCCGAAGCAGTGTTGGAATCGATCATTGGCAAACATGGTGTTTCACCTGAGGCGAAGCAGAGTTTGGCTGAGCGGGTTTCTGATTTATTGAAGGATGTCGGCGCCGAGAAGGTCGATGGGGACACAAACCTGGTGAATAAATTCATCGTAGAGAAAGTTGAGGTAATGTGGAGTGGATAGAGTATAGAGAGCTTCCTTCTACTTTTTGTTAGTCTTTGATTACAGCATTGTGATTATTATTAGTACGAGAACCAAGTTGATTCCTCAGAATTTTGTTGTTCTTTTTTCTTTTAAAGATTGTGAGAAGAAGTCATCAAGTAGGCCTATTATTTAAGTAGAAAACGGTATCTAATTTACAGGTTGAGAGCTTCAGCTTCCCTCCCTCCGTGAAACCACCCGGTTCAACCAAGACCCTATTCCTCGGTGGTGCAGGTGCTTTTCACTTCTAGGAACCTCCAATTTATTCCATCTATTGATATTTTGGTAATATATTATTTCTTATATGCCATCTGGTTTTGCTTGTTTTTATTTAATTTGAATTGTCTGGCTCAGGTTCGAGGGGTTTGGAAATACAGGGTCAGTTCATCAAGTTCACGGCCATTGGGGTGTACTTGGAAGACAGCACTGTTCCATCACTGGCTGTTAAGTGGAAGGGAAAGACTGCTGATGAATTGACGGATTCTGTTGAATTCTTCAGGGACATAATTACAGGTAAGTTGTAACTTCATTAAGTCCTTTCTGGAACTAACTAGTAGCTACTATCCATTTCTAAAAGGTTTTGTGGATAATCTTGATTGTCGTTAAAATGTTGGGTGGCATGTGGAGGACCTGAACCAAAGTAGGCTGAAATCAAGATAGGCTAGTATCATAGTAACCATAAGATTTGTAATGCGTTCCCTCTGAACTGCCGTTTGTCTAGCGTATAGAGGATCAGGACCAACCAATAAATGGTTTTCATCAATTAACTCGTCTGTATAAAAAAAAAAAAACAGCATAAAAAGATAATACTTGACCATCAAACTTTTTAATTGCTTTTGATTTTCAATAGAATGTTCTGCACCTTTATATAAAGTTTGGTTTTTGAAATGTAAAGTATGTATAATTAAGATCACTTACATGAACTTTTTCACCTATGACCTTGTATTTTAAGCTAAACCGAACCTAACATGGCGAAACACGAACAACCTAACCAAACCCAACTCAACCTATTTTATGCTTGGAACCTTGAACGAAAATGAGCACCTCAGGTTGGGTCAGCTTGGGCCTGATGTCTGGTTGGTTGAGTTTGTTGTGACCGCTATACATAAGCTTAGGTTTGGGCTCCATTTTGCTCTAAACCTGATCATATCTGCTCTATACACCTCTGATGGAGATCTTGTGCATCTATGGATGCAAAAACTTGTCAAATGTCAATTGATATTTGCCTTCTTCATTGGCATTTTGGAAGTACACTCATGGTCGTACTGTGCCTAATCTTAATCTAAAAGTGGGGTGAGGGGAAGGATCTAAAACTATGAATAGAAATGCTAGCTGTGCAATTTTTCTTTTTTTGATATCCATCTGCAGGCTACGAAATTGTGAAAAGGACCTTAATTTGGATGATCATATGATGTAATGATCGAGGTTAGAATGTTGCATAGTCTTTGTTTATAGTAATTATAGGATATTGTTAAAGCTTTGTGATGATGCACAATCTGGCCGGTCTTAGCTGTCRATGATCTTGCCTCTGAACTGAGTAACAGGGACCTGAAACGGAAGGAGAAGAGAAGCTCCGGGGAGAACCCGGCGTAAGGGCTCTGAAGCTCAAGTTAGAATTCTTCAAAGGCAAGATAAACCAGATAGCGCAAAAGTTAGCATACCTCGTTCCTGGGGGGGTAGAAGCCT